TGCAGAAAGAGTTTTGTACTGTGTTCTTGAGGCAATGAAAGGAGAATTTAAACCTATTGGTATTATTGTTATTGTCAGTAGTAGCAGTTCTGCAAAACTGCAAAATTTCCCATATACGTTATAGTATCAGATATTTAAGTTAGCATTAAGAAAGTGACTATTAATCATTTGAAAGCTGTCGTTGTCGAGTTCTATCATATAAGAATTATTTTATACATTTATCTGCAACCAAAAATGGTTTTATATTATTGAAAACATTGATTCTAAACTTTTGAGCAGTCGTTATTTTTAATTACTGCAATTTATTGCGTATTACCTCGGATACATTTTGTTGTTACCTTAGGTACTGAGTTCTTTAGGTAACTAAAGGTGGATATAAATCTATTATTATTATTTATTATTATTCTTGTTTATTATTATTATTATTATTAATAGTAGTACTAGGAGGTCCTGATAAAATTCAGTATTGCAAAACATTCCATACATGTCCCAGTATATCAGGTCAGCATTAATAAACGTCTACTAATTATCTGGAAGCAGTAAATCTGTGGAGTGATTTCATATTAGAACCATTATATTTTATCTGAAGTGATTTCAAACTTCTTAACCATAGTTTATGTGACACATCAGTGTGGAAGACACTCTGTGTGTGTGTGTGTGTGTGTGTGTGTGTGTGTGTGTTTCCTGCATGGCCATCTGCTGTATCTTTGATCTGCTCCCATGAAGTGGACAGACTCACCACAGCAACCTCCTTTAACACCCAACTGAGCTTACTAATTAAACACTGAGAGAGAGAGAGAGAGAGACAGGCAGAGAGAGAGAGAGAGAGAGAGAGAGAGAGAGACAGGCAGAGAGAGAGAGAGAGAGAGAGAGAGAGCGAGAGAAAGAGAGAGAGAGAGAGAGAGAGGCAGAGAAAGAGAGAGAGAGAGAGAGAGACAGAGAGAGAGAGAGAGAGAGAGACAGAGAGAGAGAGAGAGAGAGAGACAGAGAGAGAGAGAGAGAGAGAGAGAGAGAGAGAGAGGGTCTTTGCTGATTGTGTGGTGTTCGTCTGACATTTTCCTTCACTTCCCAGCATTTAGGCTCGCAATTCAGCACAGGCTCTCCTCCTTCACTCTTCTTTCTTTCTTTTTTTTCTCTATCTGTCTGTCTGTCTGTCTACACACACATATGCACAGTAATGTGTAAACATGTTACATTTTGTTGATTTTCTAAGTGGTTCTCTGTGGTTAGTGAACACATCCCTACAGAGAACACACTTAAATACTGCAATGTTCTGTAAACTTTACTGCACAATTTCTGTTTTTCTGAGCGTGACATATTGGGAGAACAGAAACATAAAACATATATTCATCTAAATATATGTATCTTTTTTCCAGTATGTTAAATTCAGTAAATAAACAGTAAGTGTGTATTAAACTGTGCAGAAGTGTGTCTCTGTAGAGAACCTGTTCACTTATTTACTCTGAGAAAATCAACAATACTTGGAATTTGACCAGGGGCGCCAAAACTTTTGCATGTGATGAATTAACAATATGAACACAGAGGCTACGTTCACATTACAAGGCTCATTGCTCAAATCCGATTTTTGCTCAGATCCGATCTCTGACGTGATGGTTCACACTCGTTTAGGTAAGTGATTCAAATCTGTCATTAATGTGACGAACCGGCGTCCTGAAATGACCCTCATGAGCACGTCCTGCTCGCATCACTGCAGCATTATGAATTTCCCCGCTGTGGGACTAATAAAGGATGATCTTATCTGATAACAGTAACAAGGAAGTAAAGGTATTTTATCATATTAGTTCAAAATATGAGGTATCAGTTCCACTGGTGGAGTGGCCACTAGGGGAGCTGCAGAAAGAGGTCAGTTTATACTGCAGTTTGAACTTTGCTTGTTTTTATGTACTTCTGTTTTGTTTCTGAGGCGGAGAGCGAGAGAGAGTCAGAGAGAGTCAGACAGACAGAAAGAGATGAAACGAGAGAGAGAGAGACAGAGAGAGAGAGAGAGAGAGAGCGAGCGAGCGAGCCAGCGAGGTTGAGGTTGAAGCTGAGTGTGATTCTAATTGGGCCCCTGGAGTGTTGGCCACTGGCAGACTGTCACGGCTCCCACCTCCAGCTTATCCTTTAAATCTTTACCCCACAGCTCCTCTAGTGCCAACACACACACACCCACACCAAATAAACACAGACGCACACACAGCCACCCCTCAGCATCTACACACACACACACACACACACACACACACACACACACACCCCATCCAGAATAAGAAAAGGTGTCTGGATTAGAATCTCATTCTCATCCTGGGCCCAACAAAACATCAGCTTTCAGACAGGTTTGGGCTGATTTGTCATGTACAGCACTGGGCTTGGACTTGGTTTTGTTTTCTCCACTGCAAAAAATGATCTCGTCAAGTGAAATGATCTTAGCCAACATGATCTTAGACTCTGAGCTCTGTTTTATCTGCATATAAACGCAGGTCACTAAAGTAGCTCTATATCATGTGAGAAATCTCACTAAAGTTCAGCCTTTTCTCTCTCAGAGCGACGCAGAGAAACCTGTTCATGCGTTTGTTACAGCAGAGTTGATCACTGTAATGATCCTCTTACTGGACTTCCTAAGAAAACAATACATCCCTTACAACTCAGCATCTTACAATGCATCAGCATCCTAACAAAAACAACACAGAGATCAGATCAGTCCTGTTTTAAAAGAACTGCATTGGCTGTCTGTATCGCTCAGGGTAGATTTTAAAGCTCTGCTACTAGTTTTTAAGGCTCTAATTGACCTTAAAGCTCCACTTACATCACAGAGTGTCTGTTTATGGTCTTAGATCTGCAGATACTGACCTACAAACACCTTCTGTAAAATACAGAAAACATGGAGAGACTCGTTCAGTTATTCTGCTTCTAAACTGTGGAGCTCAGTTCATCTTTTATTAGACAGTCAAGCTCAGAGCTCACTTTTAAGAAGCATCTAAAAACGCAGCTCTTTAACTCAGCGCTTAATTAAAACTGTGTCTCGTGGTGTTTATCTTTAAATTTGATCTGTCATTTTCTTTGATGATTCTAAATTAATATTTACAATTTCTTCTATTACTTTAAAGATTTATCATCTGTCTGTAAAGCACTCTGACCTGCCACTAAATCGCCCTAATCGTGGCAGGTCAGGGAATTGTGGAGAGTGGGTCGTGGAAAGTTAATCATGGAGAGTGAGCTGTGGAGAGTGAGCTGTGGAGAGTGAGCCGTGGAGAGTGAATCATGGAGAATGAATTGAGGAGAGTAGGTTGTGGAGAGTGAATTGTGGAGAGTGAATTGTGGACAGTGAGCTGTGGAGATAGGGGTCGCGGAGAATGAACTGTGGAGAGTGAATCGTGGAGAGTGAATCGTTGAGATTGAGTTGTGGAGAGTGAATCGTGGAGAGTGAATCGTTGAGATTGAGTTGTGGAGAGTGAATCGTTGAGATTGAGTTGTGGAGAGTGAATCGTGGAGATTGAGTCGTGGAGAGTGAATCGTGGAGAGTGAATCGTGGAGAGTGAATCGTGGAGAGTGAATCATGGAGATTGAGTTGTGGAGAGTGAATCGTGGAGAGTGAATCGTGGAGAGTGAATCGTTGAGAGTGAATCGTTGAGATTGAGTTGTGGAGAGTGAATCATGGAGATTGAGTTGTGGAGAGTGAATCGTGGAGAGTGAATCGTTGAGATTGAGTTGTGGAGAGTGAATCGTGGAGATTGAGTTGTGGAGAGTGAATCGTTGAGATTGAGTTGTGGAGAGTGAATCGTGGAGAGTGAATCGTGGAGAGTGAATCGTGGAGAGTGAATCGTGGAGATTGAGTTGTGGAGAGTGAATCGTGGAGAGTGAATCGTGGAGATTGAGTGTGGAGAGTGAATCGTGGAGAGTGAGGTGAGGCTGGAGGAAACTTGCTCAGGTACTGGTTTTGACCTGTGGGCCGCCTTTTGATGATCCTGACTGAGTGAGAGACACAGAGAGAGAGAGACAGGTGTCTGCCATCTCTGCACTAATATCGACCTTAAACTCAGAGCCAACAATCATCAGAGCATTAGTGCTATCTGACCACACTCACACTCACACACACACTCACACACACACACACACACACACACACACACACACACACACAGACTATCCAAGCCTGGCACTGCAGCTGTAATCCAGCATGTCAGAAGTCACGCTGTGGGCACCAGCAGAGGAAGAGTCACACTGACCAACACGTCACAGGCCCCTCTGTCTCTCCAGGTCATGTCACATGTCTCTCTCTCTCTAAGTTGCAGGAAAAGAGGATGAAGGAAAAAAAGCTGATGTTCCGCTACAGCAGCTCTGGCGCTGCTCACATCGATCTGTCCACCGAGTGTACCGTTGTGTGTACCGGTGCGTTCCGTGATGCCCCCTGATGCCCCCCGATGCCCCTGTGCCTCATCATCCCTGCCCTGTGCCCTCCGCCAGCTACCTGCTCCAAGACAAATCACCCAAACCCCCACAGACACATCGATCAGAGACCGCTCACTGAGACACGAGGCCAAGCTTAACAGAGAGAGAGAGACAGAGAGAGAGAGAGAGAGAGAGAGAGAGAGAGAGAGGGGAAGATAGGCTTACAGTAGGGGGGGTTCGAAAAATACAACACACGTCTTTAATGTGGCTCGAAAGTGTTGGAACACAGAACTCTCCAAAAATGTGGAACTCTCGGAACATAGAACGCTCTGAAAATGTGGAACTCTAAGAACATGGAACTCTAAAAATGTGGAACCCTCAGAACACAAAGCTCTCTGAAAATATGGAACCCTCGGAACACAAAGCTCTCTGAAAATATGGAACCCTCGGAACACAGAACTCCCTAAAAAGAAGCTTCAAAACAGTGTAAATGAATAAAGTCGTGGTTTTTGACTTAAAAAAAAAAAGAAGAGAATAAAAAAGTAAAAAAGGAAAGGAAGCTGGAGGCGATGAGAGAAGAGAAAGTGGACAGAACGTGTGCGGGTGCTCACCTGGCACTTGCCCGTGCGAACATCGTAGAGAGCGACTGAGCCCTGCCGAGCTCCCACAGCTACACGGTAACTCCGATCACAGTACGCCACCATGTAGAACCTAGAGAGAGAGAGAGAGAGAGAGAGAGAGAGAGAGAGAGAGAGAGAGAGAGAGAGAGAGAGAGAGAGAGAGAGAATTGAGTGTTTACATGCACTCAATAATCTGATCATAATCGGATTTCTGCAATTAACTGATTACTCAAATGGTCACATAAACAGCACACTCTGATTTACAAATCCAGTTAAGAAATCTGATAAAGAGGCTGGATTTTAGCTCAGTAATCAGATTTCTCAGTGCTGTAAACTCTTACTCTGATTTCTTTCAGATTTCTCAGTCTGAGCATGTGCGAAAACAGAAGGCGTCACCGGAAATAATCGAGCAGCGTCGCTGAAACCAAATACATGCTAAATGAAATGAAGGATTTAAATATTCTTCATCTTCCTGATGATCTATGTTCATATTTTCAGGTAAAGTGGCGCAACGTTTAAAAAAAAAGTCGCAGCATGAAGTCTGAGTTTATATAATGTTCACATCACGTTTTCTTCGGCTGGTTGCAAAGCAGAAATCTGATTACTGTCTGGCTCATGTAGACCTGGAGTTTCCTCATTATCTGAAGTGCATCAGATTACTGACAAAATCTGATTTTCTACAGTTATCGGATTGTTAAGTGCATGTAAACACACTCAATGTGTCCCACATTCACAGAGGACACACTGCTACCACACTTGTGTTGTTTAGCAATAGTGCAGAATTGAGCTACTAGCAATGCTAATAACGACGGCTGAATTAAGCAGAACAGGGAAAGAGAGAGAGATTAAGTTTCAGCTCTCATCCATCAGAAACCTGCCAATCATTGTCACCTGTAGGTTGACCTCTGACCTTTAAAGGTCAAGCAGCCTCAGGCTGCCCTCCTGCCTCCTCATCAGCTTAGAGGTATATAAGCAGCTTCTCACACTCATTAGTAACATACAGACACAGAGATACACTCACAAACGCACACAGCGCTGCACAGCCAGATCAGCCAATGAGTACAAGTTATTCATTTCTCAGGACGAAGATACGAGATAATCCAAACAGGAGTTTTCAAAACTGGAGCTCAAAAAAATGAGCTACAGAGAAAATGGGGCTCCTAACAACCACCTGGAAGACCTGGTAGACACCAAAACTGCCCCCATCAGATAAACAGCACTTAAAGCTTTCATCTCTGAGAGAGAGGAGAAAATCAAGCTGCTTCAGATCTGAAAACATCCACAGGTGTTTCTGTCCATCCTTCCACTGTGAGAAGACGACTCAGCGCTGTGGGTCTGAAAGGATGTGTAGCTGTCAAGAAGAACCTCACTGAGAAAAGGAGACGGACACATGAAACAAAGAAGCTGAACGATGGACTGACCACCCCAGAGTCCAGACCTCAACACCACTGAATGTGTTTGATTACTTCAGAAAATCATCAACCAGCTTCTAAGACTGAACTTTGGAGGTGTGTCTGCAGATTCTTTGAGGAGCTGAAAGTGAGTCTCCTGAAAATAATGGAAGCTGTAAAGAGTGACTCACTGGACACTGAAAAAATTGTGTGTAATTTTCTGTTAAACGTTTTCTGCTTTTTTTCTGACACTGAAAATGAATAATTGTACTAGCTGTTTCGACTGGAAAATAAATAAATAAAGGCTGGACTTTTGCACGGTGCTGTATGTGCAGAAAAAAAAAAAAAGACACTAAACTCACCCAACATGCACTCACAAACAGGCATGCACTTACTTGCAGATTGCAGGGAAGCACTCAGAGAGACCCTTCTTCTTCACCAGAGAGCCCTCAATGCAGTACATGATAATATCCATCACCTATGAGAGGAGAGGAGAATGGAGGAGAAGAGAAGAGGAGTAAAGAGACGAGGAGAGGAGATAAAATAAGTGATAAGAGGAGAGGAGAGTGATAGAAGAGAGGGAGTGTTTGTGAGGCTGTGCATGTGTTATCGAGTGATACTGTGTAGTGTACTGCGCGCAGTGTACTGCAGGGCTGAACGATTTGGTAAAAAAAAAAAAACAGAACTGTGACATTTCTGACTATTGTGATTATTGTATACAGAATTGTGCATGAAGTTTGCCAGACTGCCAGTTCATGAGCTTTCGCCTTGTCAAAACCTGTGACAATTTGAATGATGAACGATGTAGAATATAATTAAAATTGAAATAGAAACACATTTTGTATAAAAACAAATCTGCGTACAGTGTACTGCGTGTACTGTGTACTGCGTGCAGTGTACGGCGTGTACTGTGTACTGCAAGCAGTGTATTGCGTGTACTGTGTACTGCGTGCAGTGTATTGTGTGCAGTGTACTGCGTGTACTGTGTACTGCGTGCAGTGTACGGCGTGTACTGTGTACTGCAAGCAGTGTATTGCGTGTACTGTGTACTGCGTGCAGTGTATTGTGTGCAGTGTACTGCGTGCAGTGTATTGTGTGCAGTGTACCGCGTGTACTGTGTACTGCGTGCAGTGTACTGCATGTACTGTGTACTGCGTGCAGTGTATTGTGTGCAGTGTACTGCGTGTACTGTGTACTGCGTGCAGTGTACTGTGTGTACTGTGTACTGCGTGCAGTGTATTATGTGCAGTGTACTGCGTACTGCGTGCGATGTACTGCGTGCAGTGTACTGCGTGTACTGTGTACTGCGTGCAGTGTATTGTGTGCAGTGTACTGCGTGTACTGTGTACTGCGTGCAGTGTATTGTGCGCAGTGTACTGCGTGTACTGTGTACTGCGTGCAGTGTATTATGTGCAGTGTACTGCGTACTGCGTGCGATGTACTGCGTGTACTGTGTACTGCGTGTACTGTGTACTGCGTGCAGTGTATTATGTGCAGTGTACTGCGTACTGCGTGCGATGTACTGCGTGTACTGTGTACTGCGTGTAGTGTACTGCGTGTACTGTGTACTGCGTGTACTTTGTACTGCGTGTACTGTGTACTGCGTGTAGTGTGTACTGAAAAAAACAGAACTGTGACATTTCTGACTATTGTGATTATGATTTAAATGACAATATTGTCTTTTTTCCTCAAGAAGACCAGCACAGCCATTTTTTCAGGATTGATGCTTGTATACAGAATTGTGCATGAAGTTTGCCAGACTGCCAGTTCATGAGCTTTCGCCTTGTCAAAACCTGTGACAATTTGAATGACGAACGATGTAGAATATAATTAAAATTGAAATAGAAACACATTTTGATTTCAATATATATTGTGTGTGTGTATTGTGTGTAGTGTCCTGCATGTAGAGTACTGTGTGTATTAAACTGCTTTAGTGTTGCCTGTAGTAATGTTGCATTGCGTGCAGTGCATGGCGTGTAGTGAACAGTATGTAGTGTATTGTATTGCGTCTAATGCACTGCACGTAGTGTTGTATCGTATTTTGTGTAATGTACTGTGTGTAATGTGCTGTGTGTATCATTGTACTGTATTGCATGTGATGCACTGTGTGTAATGTGTGTGATTGTTTATTGTAGTGCAGTACCTCCACCAGCAGGTCCACTACATCTGAGGGCATTTTCTCGATGAGGATCTCGATGACCCGCAGGATTTCGGTCTTGGCGCGGGCGAGGGTGGTGGTGTGAACGTTCTGCTGAGACTGAGAGCCCTGAGACTGCATCGCTGTGTGTCTGTGCACCTACACACACACACACACACACACACACACACACACACACATAGAGACACACACATGCAGATCAGTTTAACCCTTTGAGTTTTAATCAATCACTGGCAATAAACAAAAGCATGTAATTTTATATGAATTATTTCTGACACACTCGAGGAGAGAACAGATTTTTAAACCATGTACAGCTGTATGTGAAAGTTTGAACACTCCTGGTCAAATGTGGCAGAAAATATTTATTTTATTTTGGACTAATATGAGTTTAATACAGTGGAAAAAATAAAAACAAACAAAAAAAATATAAAATGTGCCATAACTTTTTCACAGACCCAAGTTTTATTTTTTTATATTTTTCCTCAATATGTTAAATTCAGTAAAAAAATGTAATTGTGCATTATAACAGGGTAGAGGATTCACTTAATTTCACTTAGAAAATCAACAAAAAATGTAATTCAACAGGGGCGCCCAAATTTTGCATGCGACTGTTTAATTTATTTTAATTTGTACTTTTAAAAACACACATATTAAGGCAAAAAGTTTGGGCACCTCTGCTCTGTGTGCTTGTGTGCGAACAGGGTGCATTAAAGGACCCATATCATGCAAAACCAAACTCTTCTTGCATTTCTGGAATAGAAGAGTCTGATGTCCTTTTTTTGGGACTGTTAAAGTTTTCCATTGTTTTGTTCACTCCACATGGCCCATGTACAGAAACTAAGCTGCAAAAACAGCCCACTTGTTTTTGTGATGTCACAAAAGCCAACTCATTTATATAATCCTTCTATCCAGCCTACAGCATTTAGCCCCGTCCTTCGCACTGAAGTTATGAAAGAGCGTTTCAGAAATACAGAGCAGCCAGTCTGAATGGAGCTCATTTACATGTATCTGTCAAAAAGACTGTCCATCAAGGGATAAACAGTGGTTGGGCCATTTGAGACCATTTTTGGTCCTTAAAAACCACTCCATCATTATAAGTGGACATCACAACAAAAAATAAAATTAAATATAAAGAAAATGTAGGATATGCGCCCTTTAAAAACAAACAAACACAGGAATACAGGAACTGCACTGGAGCGTTTGCGCTTGAAAGCTCTCTTTACTCCAGAAGAGTAGTTCTGCAGGAGCTGTCTAAGTGCCTAAGTGCCTATTGTGTGTGCCTGTGTCCCACCTCCTTGGCGATGGTGGTGATGAAGGCCGGCGGTCTCGCTGTGGCGATCAGAGAGAGAGCGTGGCGGGCAGAGCGGGCGGAGTCAGCCGCCGGGTTCAGGGGGAGCCCCATTGTAATGCTAAAGAGAGAGAGAAGGAGAGAGAGGGAGAGAGAGGGAGGGAGAGGGTGAGAGAGGGAGGGAGAGGGTGAGAGAGCGAGCAAGCATTAGAATATATAGAGTGAAAAGATTAGACCCAGCTTATAATGTCAGTTCAAGGTCAATGGGATCACTCAGACAGCAGCAGCATAATGGACTGAGGACAATACACACACACACACACATACTCAATACACCCCCCGTCCATACACACACACGCGCACACGCTTCACACACCAGCGTGCAAATCGCAGTGTGTGTGTGAGGCCCCTTGTTAACAAATCACCCCGTGCGCTCTGAGAGTGAATATGTATCAGGCCTGGCGCTGACCGAGGCGTGTGATACAGGGTCAGATCAAAGTGTCTGTGTGGTTACAGCAGGGTGACCCCCCCAAACACCCTCTGAGACACGCGCTAGCTCTCGCCTGTGTGTGTGTGTGTGTGTGTGTGCGCGATGCTGCCAGGAGGACAGAGACACACACACTTCCTAAACAGCAACTCAGCTTATTCATCACTTTTAATGCAAGATTTTCAACACTTGTGTAAAAACACTGATCAGGCATAACATTCTGACCACCTACTTGTTTCTACGCTCATCGTCCATTTTATCAGCTCCACTTACTATATAGGTGCACTTTGTAGTTCTACAGTTACAGACTGTAGTCATTTCATGATAAAAGGACCAAAGAAACGGCCCAAACTTACTTGGAAAAACAGATATTAGATAATCCACTTCAAGGGAAAGTTTGTGAACAAACTAAGTTCGCTTGACAACTTAGCCAGTTAACAATGCTTCTAAAGATAAAGCGGTTGTAGACAGTGTTGACTATTTTTAAAACATTTTCTATAGTAATTCCTGGTAGTTGCTATGGTGTTGCTACGAGGTTGCTATGGTATTCCAGCTTGTTGTTATGGCATTTCTTGAATGTCTGATGGCTGCTAAGTTGTTGCTACAGTATCCCAGGTGGTTGTTAAGCTATTTGATAGGCAGTTGCTATGCTGACCCAGTGTTTCCACGATGTTGCTATGGTATTCCAGTTGGTTGTTAAGGTGTTCTTAGGTTGTCGCTTTAGGCTCTCTAGCAACGACGATCCTGCAAAGTTTCGTACTTCTAGCACAAAAGCTGTAGGAGTTGCGCAGCAATAAGAAGAAAACGGAGGACAGTAAGTTTGCTTTTTCAAGCCAACTTAATAAGTGAAAAACTTAAAGCAATAAAAATAATAAAGCAATAAAATATGAAATAACAATTACTATTAAAGTTTAAAAAAACAGCAGCTTTTAAATTCAGTTTCCGTGATGTCACAAGAACCAATTTATTTATATATATAGCCAAATATTAAGCCTGTATCAGTTTAGCCCCACCCACTAGGGTTTTAAAGGCACAGGAACCAATCAGCCTGTTTAATTCTAAGTGACAAAGAGAAAAAGGAACCGACAAAAAAAATCAAACAAAGAAACTGCTGGTGAACTTTGGAGGTGTGTCTTCAGGTTCTTTGAAAAGCTGAAAGCGAGTCTGGAAGCTGTAGTAAAGGTAAAGAGTGGACAGACTAAATCAGGCAGGTCAAACTGGGGACCTTCCAGGCCAAAGTGCTGTGGAGATCAGCGCTTACCCTCATCTAACGCTCTGAATTCAGATCGTGACGGCCTTGCTGATGAGCTGATGTTTGTCACACTAGAAAGCTTCCACGAATCACGCAGTTGCCTCTTCACAGAAGCTGCACTGCTCGTTCCTGAATTTAATAACTTCAGCATAACTCAACAGCTATGAAAGACCACAGATGTACCTTTTCACTTAGTCGAAAACCCACTACACTGTCAGAAACAGATCTTACATACACCTGCTTTCATTTCAGGCACTTTTCATTACATCACTTGTTGTAAATGATGTTCCAGCATCAGATTTTGGTTTTCCATCACTTTTCTATTCGGCATTTTCACTGTAAACGATACTCTTGATACCACCGGCCGTCTATACCACACTACCACATATGTTTTAAATGCCCACCGTGGCTAAAGTAATGATCACTACAGTGATCACAAAGTGGCTAATTATGGAAAAAAACACTGCAGGGACGAGTTAGCATGACCTTATTTGTAGAATTCTAACTAGTTCCCACCTACCCTTCCTTCACCGATGGCAACTTCAGCATTTTATTTATTTATTTATTTATTTATTTATTTTTGCTGGCTCACTCAGCAGGCCGTGCCAAGAGTCAATGTCAATAATTGACTGAATCTCTATTACTGAAACCTGCATGGGCCAAAATTTCAAGGGGCGTCACGCTGTTTGGTTGGTATAATTTTGTAGACCAGTTATTATCAACAAAGTTACTCTGCTGATGTTGATAAAACAACAGCAAAGCACAAATATTAACTGAAAAAGTAATATTTGCTCCCGAGTGGCGCAACCGTCTAAGCGTTGGCCCTCATCAGGAGATCGCAAGTTCGATCCCTGGTGATGCTACAGCCGTCCGTAGCCGGGAGTCCAAGAGAGCACAATTGGCCTCGCTCTCTCTGGGTGGGTAGGATGGCCCCTCCTTCTCCCCCCATCACTCAGCGCGATGCTAGTCAGCGCAGGCGTCTGTTAGCTGACGTAACAGATCTGGCGGTTGGCGCTTTCCTCCGAGCGCGTTCGGCTGTCCAATGACGTTGCGTGAGCAGCAGCTCGAAAAGAAGCGGTGGAGCTTCACAGGTCTCGGAGGAAGCCTGTGTTAGCCTTCACCCTCCTAGTGTTGGCAGTATCGTGTGATTGGGGGAGTCCTAACTAGCGGGTGGAATTGGAGACGACTAAATTGGGGAGAAAATTGGGGAAAAATAAATATTGAAAAAGAAAAAGTAATATTTTAACACTGAACACAGCCGTAAATAGTGACCGAAATGAATTCAAGATTTTTGAGTTTGGCTATAACTAGCAAAAAAAAGGTGATGGTCAATCAACAAGGTCTCCATCACCAAGAGAGCTGAGAGAACATTCTTCCTGAGACAGCTGAAGGAATTCTACCTGCCGCAGAGCCAGATGATCCAGTTCTACACAGCGATCATCCAGTTCATCCTCACATCATTCATAACCATCTGGTTTGGTTCCTCCACCTCAAAAGAATGAGCCAAACTCCAGTGCACAATCAGCACAGCGGAGAGGATCACTGGATGTATCTTCAGGATGTCTACAGCAGCAGGGTGATGAAGCACGCTGGCAAAATAACAGCTGACCCCTCCCATTCTGACCACAGTTACCCAATAATCACTTTACTGCGTTTTTGCTAATGCTAGCTAGATTTGTTTATGGAGGATCAGCTGCAGCGAGCTGTGCCCAGCAGGGAAAGTGAAGGTGAAGGTGCTGTTGGGTGAAGAGTTTACTTAACATTCCCTCCCTCTCCTCCTCAGGGCTGGTAGAACAGCAGAGGAGGCAATAACTGGAGGCCAGAAACAGCTCTGTCGGCCTGATAACACTGAGCTTTTACACCGCACCGCTGGGGATATCTGCTTGCTTCAAACGCACCAGAACAATAACAGAACACAGGCCGGCAAACACTGGACAACTCAGTACATATCAGGGAAAAAACAGATACAGAGAGAAGTTACAGGGTAAATAACCGTAAAATGCCCAGATCACAATTTGTACTGTTTCAGTTCCCCAGCTAATCCTGACCATCATCATCATCACCATCCTCATCATCAGCACCTTAACTAATTAACTAATTAACCAACCAGCTAAAAATCACCTCAATACCACCTAAATAAAAAACAATGAATCAACTAATTAACCAACAAACTTTCAAACAATTAACTAACTAATTAACCAACAACTTTTAAACAATTAACTAATTAACCAACAACTTTTAAACAATTAATTAAAAACAGAATAAAATAACAAATCAACTAAGTAAATAACCGACTGACAAAATAAATGAATAAATAAAGTAACATCTACATTAAAAAATAATAAGAGCCCCTCCAAGACAAACAAATAAACTCCAAAAACATTTGCATAATGACTATTTAATTACTAGTACATGAATCTTTGAATTCCACTTCTGGCTGCCCGGTTCTGTTCAGCAGTTCTAAAAATACATTATTATAAAGCAATTTATTTCCTCTACTAATTAAAACATCTCCATAGAAATCAAATGCTTTAATCAATAATAAGAATACAGAAAATAAAACTGTCACAGTTACAGAGTTATCTGACTAAGTCACATTTATTTGCGGTAAATTCAGTTTATGTAATTCAATTTATCAGAATTAGTTTTGCTATTTATTTTTAAAGCCATAAAGTAACGATGAACGGTTTTACCTGCAGAGGATAAATGAGGCTAACTTACACTGACTTACACCAGGAAGTCATATAAACCTGTCAGTTTCCTCCACCAGATTTATTTCATCTTTCCAGATAAAGAGTTTCATGCCTTAGGCGTGCGCACACACACACACACACACACACACACACACACACACACATTCATCAAGGTGTAAATACCTGCATTGAGTGAAATCTAGTTACTTTATTTCAGTACCAATATCTGAACATATTTATTCAGTATTGTTGTTATATGCCGTTACCTGTGCCTCCTTGTACAGTCATTACTGCACTGCCTTTTTATCTCAGGATAGATTTTATTGCATATTTTTGTATATTTCTAGTTGTATATATGCCTGCAGACAGGTTTTTGTATTCTTTTTATATTGCATCACCCTTATTATTATGAATATGCTGTGTTGTGTGACTGATACTGGCTGCTAAATTTCCTTCGGGATCAATAAAGTCTCTCTCTCTCTCTCTCTCTCTATCTAATCAGAAATCAATATCCTCAGCTGTGTAAAGTTTTTACTGTCATTCAGCCCCAACTTTACAAAAGAGGGAAAATAAGCCACATTATTTACACAGGAACAGCTTCTCATTAAAAACACCACATTTAAACAGGCTAATTAACATTAAAGCATGAATATGCACTAAAATTAATACGCTCGTCACATCACAAATCG